CACAAGTTTTATGGATGAAACAACAACTTTTAGATTATGGAATTGAAGTAGGTACCATACCTATCAAGTGTGACAATACTAGTGCTATTTGTCTCACTTTTATGTTGATACTTTGCATCAATTAGCGGATATTTTTACAAAACCTTTAGACAAAGAAAGATTTTGGATACTTATGAGAGAATTAGGTTTAACTGCCTATCTTCACTTAGTGTTTAAAATAATCTTAGCACTTTTAATTAGAAATGAAAATGCTTATAAAAATAATATTTTTGATTGCATTCTTTGCTATTAGTTAGGGGGAGTTTATGATTCTTAATGAATATTGATTATATGTTCAAATAGAATTTAAGGATAGATTTGATTGATTGAACATAGTTAATTTTCGTAATATGAGTTGTCAATACCACTAGAAAAGATTAATTTGGCTTTTTGAATGATTAAACACATATTTTTTTAACTTTTCTAAGTGCTATGTATCGATACCCCCTTTGTATGGGTACTGATACCCTCTTTGAATGGGTATCGATACCCACACATGAGGGTACCGATACCCTCTACGGGTTCTGTTATTAAACACCCAAAAACCTCATTTTGCCAAAACCCTCTCATTATCTTTCTCTCGCCGTTTCACTCTTGCTCTCACCTCTAATCTCTACATTGCTTAAAATCAACGATTTCAAGTCGAATTTCACTAAGTTTTCAACTCCAAAATCTGCTAGCATCATTAATTTCATGCAAACATGATCAAAATCAACTTAATCTTCATCTTTCAAGGTAATTTTTCTAAAATTTCTATTTTATTGATTTTTGAACTTAGGACTAGTTTTGATTAGTTCTAGGTTGAAATAGTGATTGTGCTTTGATTATATGATGTTTTTAAACTAGGTTCTACAACTAATTTAGTTAAAAACACAAGATTTGATCAAATTTTTTAAAAAAATCGAAATAAAAAAATTATTTTTCAAATTGTTGTTTTAATTTAATTATGTTGTTTTCATGAAAACTATATATTGATTTTCAAACATTATTTTTTAACATAGTTTTCAAAATTTCCCATTAGGATTATTTTAGAGAACCTTGAAATATTGAAGACTCGTTTGAGTTTTGGGAATTGATTGTATTGCATATAAATGTTTTAAATTTGCAGGTTACCCTTCTGATTTCTTATATCATGTCTCAAAAACACCCTAGGACGTCATCTAGTCGTTCAAACCAACCTCCTAACCCACCTCCAAATCCTCCTCATATCCAACAAATTCCTAATACCGATGATCTTGTTATAACTATTCGTGATTCATGCTTTAACGAACCTGGTCGTAGACAAAATCTATTCTTTAAATATCCTCAGTATTTTGAGTCATACAAAATTCGAGAAGAACATATTCCTTCAATTCGAGCTATGCAAGAAATAAACTTTAGATATCTTCTTACTCTAGAAGCTTGGAAGTTTGATAAACTTTTTCACCTCGAACCAATTATTTTCCAACAACTTGTTCGAATTTTCTATTCAAATGTCGTTTATATTCAAAATCGAGCTAGAACCGAAACAATAGGAATACGATTCTATCTTCTAGGTCGATTCATCCATATTAAATCTCAATATATAGTAAATACATTTGGTTTAGACAATGATGGCTTATATAATGAAAAAGAAACAGTAGGTTTTCCTTACAAGGTCAAGTCTAGTGCGAGTGTATTAGATCACCAAGATCGTTTTTTCATCTGATGATCTCTTGGTGGTTTAGACTATCTGGAGGAAAATACTCCATTTTTCAGAGCCTTAGACCTTTGGTAGATACATTGTATCCAAAATAATAGGAAAATTAACCTATCTCAGATAATCTTCGCCGAACTCGTAGAAACCGTAAACCTTGTTCCTAATAAGAAAGTTAATGAAACTCTAGTTTACGGTTGTCTTTTGAGTAATTTGTTTATCAAAGTTGAGCTTAAAGTAAGTCTCGATGTAGTCATCCCTCTCAAAAATCAAATCAATTTGACATCTTTAAAGAAATAGGGATGGATAAAGGATACGGAAACGGGTCAATGGGTTCGATCCCCTGAGAAAACTCTGGGAGCTAGTTCTTCAAGAGCTCCACCGGCACCAGCACCAGCAGCAGACGACGATCCTGAACTTCAACAGCTTATGCAAGACATTGACGACGTCCCCGACGATGAGTCGGAACAGTACGAGGAACAAGCACATCAAGAGAGTCAAATGCCTCTATATTTTCAATCGTTTATGGAGACATTCGACTTACGGTTTGCATCCATGGATTCATGGTTTACATCCATAGATTCCCACCTAACCACTTTGAGGGCTCAACAATTGGAAATTTTAAAAGAGATGCGCGCGAACAATAAAACAACAAATGATAGAATCAATACGCTCACACATGAGATGGCTGCAATGCGAGCTTATTTTCTTTCTCCCGATCCTTCTACGAATGCTTGAACCTTGCCTTGCCTTAGTTTTCTTGAATGAGACTTAGAACTTATTGTTTTAACATTTTGGATGTTTGTGAATGTTTGAATTTGTTTTGGATGTTTGAACTTAACTGCTTATATATGTTTGATTTATGTTTTGCATCATTTACATATTAGTAAATATGACCAATTTTACCATTTCACATTTGATTATGAATATTGATTTATGAAACTAAATGCTAATCTTTCTCTTGATTTTTTATCTTAGCAGTTTAAACTTTAAATTTCTAAATATCAATTGGCTATATTTTTTAAAAAAAAAACCTTGCTTAAAAACGTTTTATAGAGTCTTTTTGATTTAACAAAAAGGGGAAGAAGTGTTATAGTAAGGGGAGTAATAATTTTCTCAAAATTGTTTTCTAAAAATGATTTTCAATAAGAAAATCTTAAAATTACTAAAATGTTTTGTTATATCAAAAAGGGGGAGATTGTTGAAAACATTTTGATGTTTCGATATAACAAATTAAATGTTACTGGATTTTAAGATTTTCTAATCATTTTAGAATATATATTTGATTAAATTATTTGAATATCAAAAATATTACTTCAAGTTTTCAAATGACAATTTTAATTCTTACTTAAGTGTAAAGTTGTGTTTTAATCTTAAAAATATTTTTGAAACAAATTTTACAAAGTATTTCGAGCCTTAATCGAGCCAAAAATCTTTTCTTAATAAATATCAAATCGGAATGGGAAGATTACCCAGAGGGTACCGATACCCCCTAGAGGGTACCGATACCCCTATGAAAGATTTGGCTCCGAGAAATAACAGAATGTTCGAAGGGTACCGATACCCCCCAGGAGGTATCGATACCTCCAGTCTTATAACAGTCGAAATATTTGAATTTTACACTGCAGGTACTGATTCCCTATGAAGGGGTACCGATCCCCCCACGCTCCAAACTGTTTTATTAATTGTTTTCACACAATAACGACTCTATTGACTTCACCAATGATCTCCCAACGTTCAGAAGTGATTCAAGGTGTATTTAAACAAGCTTAGGAGCCATTGATCAACAACAATTAAGAAGAATTGAGAGAGAATCAAAGAGAAAACATCAAACCTCAAGTTTGAGCATTTTCAAGCCTATTTCATTCAATATTCATTTTTGCTTTCAAGAACACTTATTGTGCTCAATTGTATTATTATTAAGTGTTCTTTTTTTGTTCTAGAATTGTGCAAACATCTTACCTTGTGAGATTTTTTCTGATAAGTTTGCAAATTTGTGTATTTCTCTTTGGGAGAGAGTGTTCTCAAGAATTTGGGGTATAATTATTGAGGGAGTTCTAAGGTTACTCTTTGTTCTCAAAAGAAAGAACAAATTAGTGAATTTGATGGAAAATCCTTAGTGTGGATAGTTAAGGTAGTGGACGTAGACTTTGGTTGAGAAAGTCGAACCACTCTAAATCGTTGTGCAAATATTTTCAATTTTCTGCAAAAGCTTCCACCAAATTTTTATTGTCAATTCACTCCCCTCTTGGCCAATTTCGTCGATCGATTAACTCAACAATTATACTTCTTGTATTATGTAATTTGGTCCCCTAACCCTTTGTTTATTTTTCTTGCAATTCACTTTTAACATTAATTTGGTCCATCAATTTCAATTTATTTCAATTTGATCCCTTAATTTTTATCTATTTATTTGTTTATTTAAAAAAATATTTTAACATGCTCGGTTGATATTTTTTCTTTTTCAAAATTTAACATTTTTTTACTTATTTTGTTTCTTTTTAAATTTAATATCTTTTTTATTTTTTTCTCTTTTAACATTTTTGAACCTTTTTTAAATTTAACCTTTTTTTCTTCTCTTTGATTTATTTAATATTAATTTTTACTTTATTTTACGATCTAACATTTTTTAATCTTTTTTAAATTTAACCTTTTTTCTTCTCTTTGATTTATTTAATATTTAATATTCACTTTATTTTACGATCTAACATTTTTGAATCTTTTTTGAATTTAACCTTTTTTCTTCTCTTTGATTTATTTAATATTTAATATTCACTTTATTTTACGATCTAACATTCTTGATTCTTTAGGTGTAATTTTAATTGATCAAAGGTAAATAATTTGAATCGAAACTTTAAATTTTAATTTAACTTTTAATTTTCACAATTAAGACAACCGAGAAATTAAGTTGGTACCGAAAAGGCAGTACAAGGGTGATAATCCTTCCTTGACTGTAATCAACTCCAGAATCCAATACATTTTTGGTAAAACGCAGAGTAGATAAGATAGTAAATTAAGGTATCCGATTAACCTATTTTTTTAAAAAATAATCGGTGACGACTCTAACACGTTTTATTTAATTCGAAACCCTATTTCGGACCCACCCGAAGGACGGTTACAACAATTATAATTTCTATTCTATATGTGTTTTGTTGTATAAAATTGTTTTCTATATATATATATATATAAAATTAATAAAGTATATCATATAAATAGTAAGAATCGGCAGGATGGGAGGAAAAAAGGACATAGCATAGGCAAAATTCAGAAACATAATCAAAAGAAATTAATAGAAAACACCCACAAACGCAGAGACAATACTTATTAAATTAACCATCAGTTCATGGCCGATAATTTAAGGTCTTGGAATCGAATTACGAGAGAATAAAAATTTATTTTTGCATGGAAGATGATCGACCTTGCTTCTCTACCGTTGCTTGTATGATAATCAGACTGCATGCCGACATCCTAGAAAATTGGAATGACAAATTATCAGATTAACTCGGTGACTAAAAATCAACTCTGCAAGAGTTAGTAGACTTCACGGCTGACTCAAGAATTATTGGCACCGTAAAAAATATTAAATCTCTTTAGCAATTTAAACAAATACGTGACGAGGAAAACCAACAACACACAAATCAATATCACCAAAATACACACAATGATGAGCAGCCTTGATTTCGTCCAAATAAATGACATTAATCAACTGAGAAGCCAACCAAACATAAACTTGCATGTAACATAAATAAAAAGGCATTAGAGTTACATGTACTTCTAAAAGAAATAATGTGACATTCGTATTATTTTTTCTTTCAATGTGATCCTCCAACTTAGAAAATAAACTCAATGTAGCCATTTAACAAACGTTTTTTCGTCGTTGACCGTTAAGGTACTAGAGTGGTAGTTCACGGTGCCGCCATGGTGGTCTACGGTGTTGACGTAATAGTTCATTTGTCATGTTTGAGTTAATTTAGCCCATATACAATGTCATTTGTCACGTTATCAACTATCGCGGACTGCCACGTCAGCACAGTGAACTCCACGTCAATAGAGTGAACTACCACATCAGCACCGTAATAGTAAAAAAATATTGGTCAAACGGCCACATTGGATTTATTTTATGAGTTTGAGAGACACATTGAAATAAAAAATAGAACGAGGGGCATATTGGTTTTTTCAAAAGTATAGGGACCTCTGATGCATTTTCCATTAAATAATCAAATATCTATGCAAATAGGGGTGTTTATCGAGCGAGTCGATTACGAGTTGGACAGTGCTCAACTCTTTTTCGTTAAAAAATTTGTTAGTCGACTTGTTGCTCATTAAACTCGTTAAAAATTTACTCGACTCGTGCTCGTTAAGAAGGCTCGTTGCTCATTAAGTTCATCGAAATATTTATCTTATTTTCTTAACTATAGGTAAAAAATATTAATATAAACATAAAATAATAAATATAACAATTTTTTATCAAAATATTGCATAAAGTAATTTCAAAGTCTGAAGTAATAATACATAATGTATAATAAATAGAGTTTACTTTTTAGTGTAGTAAAATGATAAAAATTTAATATTTTTTTGTTTATCAAAAAATTAATAGATTAATATTTCATTATTATTTTTATTTATTAATAAATTAGTAATTTTTTAATGAAATATTTTTTTTTAGATAAGCAATATAAGTTTATATAAAAAACTTTAACGAGTTACTCATAAACTCATCAAATCAAGTTAGATTTTATTAAATTCATCTAATTAAGATCTTGAGTCGAATTTTTATTCAACAGACTAACCTCAAGGCTCGAACTCACTTCCCTTGGGGAGTTGACCAGACCTGAAAACATCAAACTTTGTCATGTTAGAGTAGGAATAAGGGATCCCATTTTCCTTCAAGAACTCCTCAAGCAATCTCTTAACGCCGTCGGGATCCTCATTTTCACATTCGATCTCGTAACACGTTCCGAAATCGTATGTAGTCTCGTCCACTTCCAGCCTCAGTTTTTCCCAATAAAAGACCGTTTTTTTATTCTTAAACCAGCCCAAACAAACAAACCCCGCTTCTTCCCCGACCCCGAACTCATCTTTAACCCTCTTCACAATCCTGGACTCGGTCTTCGCCAACCTCGCAGTGTCCTCCACGCAACCGCGTGCAATGCACAGATCCAGTTCCTCCGTGTCTTTCTCCACGCGGCAGACGCCGTCTACCAGGGTAGGTTTGGATTTGAGGGAAACGTCGCAGTGGGCTTCCTCGTCGGGGAAGCTGAGGCGAAGAACGGAAAGTCGGGAGGAAAGGGTGTTTGTTGGGGTGTCGAAGAAGTAGTTTTGTTGATGGAGGGTTTTGATGAAGAAAGGAGAAAGGACGGTGGTTAGTTGACGGTGGGCGGTGGCGTCCCGGAGGCGTAGCTTCACTTCGACTTCCATCAGGCGGACTAAAACGTAAAATCTAAAGGAATTGTAGTAACAAAACGAGAACGGTTGAAGAAATGAAGAACGGCAGAGAGAAGAAAGAAGACTAAAGCATATCATTCATCTGCACATTTCTCGTTCATTCCTAAGAACAAAACTCGTCTGTAGAGATAAGGTGAGATAAGGTGAAATTTATAGTTCGAACATATGTCGTCAGTCGTCTCTGATGACTAAAGGGGTCGTCATGCCGTCCCTGCGAGTTGTGGTGAGTTACTTCATTACCTATATCGATAATTAAACATCTCGTCAGTTTGGTTGTCGGGATCGCATGACGACCTATAAAAAAATCGTTATTACTTAGAGAAATTTAAGTAATCGCATAAAAACCTAATTATCTTGTAGATAATATTTTTTAATTAGAGAAATTTAAGTAATCATTGTTCGGAGTACATAACGACCAATATAAATCGATTGAAAGACATGATGAACTATAAAAAATTGTAATATTCGCTCTAAATAGACAAATAATTCTTCAACTACACCTGAATAATTTTTTTTCAACATTATTAGGTGTCCTTCAAATCCTGTCCCTTTTAAGGGTCCATTAATATGCCCCCACAATAATATATATATACAATTACGTGTATTATTTGCTTTATTCAGGACAACAGTTGTTTGAATGTTATTGACGTCAGACAAATGGTCCAATCTTATCCTTGTTATCCTCACGTTTTTTTTTTCACTACTTTCTAAAACCTATGACATCATTTTTCTGTTCTCATTAAAATCCTTTTCAAATCCACATATGTTAATACGAGTATATTTTCACACTCACTACTAAACTGGTTATCCACCACTAATCTTATACCTATGTGTATCCGTATATACCCGCTTGTCAATAACCTTATAAGTTATATAAACGATGATCTTCGATTCTAAAAATGATCAATAAAATTTATTAATGGGTTAAATTTAGTTTAATTTGTTAATAGGAATAGAAAAAATAAGAAAATTTACATACCCAAATTTTTTTAAAATAAGATATTAAAATTTTGGACCCCTATTTTTTAATTTCTAGATCCGCCACTAATTAATGGGTGAGCGGATGTGGAGCGGGTAATGTCTTAAACTCATCACCTACCTACTACCCACGACGGGTATGGCTTTTTACATCCACACGCGCTAATTGTCCACTAAATTTATATCAATCTCAACCCTAATTCGAGCTGATACAGTACGAAATCCACAAAATTGTATATGTTGTCATCTTAGCATTGATATCTTATATTTATATTATTCACTTATCTTTAACCTTTTTAAAAATTCGTTTAATATTATCAATTATCAATTAATTAAATAAGATGAATATAATTAAGAATTTAAAATTTATATGATAAATAATATAAATTAAATTAAAAAAATCAACAATAAATTTCCATAACATCTTATTTGATTCAATCAGATAACGGATCTAATTAAAGTAACGGTTCACCTTATTGGACCATGTGCAATAATTCAGGCTACATAATTAAGCGGTATTTATAATTGAGAAAATAACCTCAGTGACCGAAAATGCCTTATAATATACGATTTTAACCAACTTTTTTGGATTTGCCAAAATGACCAACAAAATCGCAACGCGAACTCTAATTTTTCAACTCAGTTTCCAAATTCGCAACGCGATTGTAAGATTCACAACGCGATTTTGAAAAATGTGTTGCGATAGTTAAAATGTGTTGCGAGAGTTAAAATGTGTTGCGAGAGTTTGAAAAACGTGTAGTTGCGATAGTGAAAAAGTGTTGCGATAGTGAAAAATCCAAAATAAGTTTACATTTTAACTATTCCAAATTCACGTGGAGTTTGAAACAATAAAGAATGTGTTGCGATAGTGTAAAAGATTCCCAAGCCATTTGTAAGATCTTAGTTTGAAACAATAAAGAATGTGTTGCGATAGTGTAAAATATTCCCAAGTGTTGGTAATGCTCAATCCCACATAGTATTGGAAACACTATTGGGAATGGGTATTTAAGGCTTGGATTTCCCACGTGAACTTGGACTATGGCAACGAATTTCGACTAACGTAAATTTGAAAAATCGCAACGCGAACTTGGACTATCGCAAAATCGCGTTGCGAATTTGGAAACTGAGTTGAAAAATTAGAGCTCGCGTTGCGATTTTGTTGGTCATTTTAGCAAATCCAAAAAAAATTTGTTAAAATCGTATATTATAAGGCATTTTCGGTCACTGAGGCTATTTTCTCTTTATAATTTGGTTAGATCCTATCAGCCTACAACCTTTTTCCTTTGATTTTATTTATTTCATTTTACAACCATCAACCACCACCCAAAGCAATAAAGCTGTAACTTTATAGCTAAGGTCTGTAGGGACAAGCGAACAATTAAGTGGGTGGATTCAATCTCAATCATATCTTATATTTTTTTTGAAGGAATAACTTCTTATATTCCAATAGCGTCATCAATTATAAGTTGTTTGATATATTCGGGTTCTTCCAAGAAAAACCAGACTGGATTATGGTTCGATAAGGCCCATTGAGCTAAGGAGTGAGCAACTCTATTAGCATCCCTACAAACATAATGGACTTTAAAAGAAGGATGATCATCCAAACTCAATCTTACCTCATTGAGCAACAATCCAACTGTTTAAATGTCCTGTGTCTTTCTAAAGATCCTGTTCGACAACCTGTACACAATCGAGATGACATCGCCTTCAATAATGACATTGTTCCACCCATTCTCATGCGCAAAGCGAATACCTTGAGAAAAAGCTTCTGCTTCCGTAGACTCGGCCATGAACGAATGATTGATTTTCTTTGCCAACCCTCTGATTACCATACCATGCATATCCCTCGCCACAACTCCAATTGCCGCCACCCGAGCATCCTTGCAAAATGCCCTATCCACATTAATCTTTACCACATTCATATTTGGTTTGCTCTATTTACGGTTCCTATGGGGTTGAAGATCAACATTTGATACACCAAAAGAGTTCCAAGCCTGCTTAAACTCTCCAATCAGATTCGAAGAGTTCAAAATGATATCTCTGTCCGATTGTAAGTCCCCATTATGCACCAAGTTGTTGCGCCGGTTTCAAATATTCCAAAGTAAAGCAAGGAACAAATCAAATCCTTCTCTACTCAATTTGGATATAACATACGAAAGCCAGAGAAGACACTAACTCCTATTCCAATAAACAACCTCTTGGGGAAGCCCGGACATCGAAAGAAACTTCTTCGAAACAGGGCAATCTTTAATCGCATGCAACACCAATTCCAGCTCTTGTTTACAAAGCGGACAAAAACCATCTCCGAGGTTAGCTTGCTTCATTTTTGACCCCGCAGGAAGAGCTTCATGGCACAAGCGCCAACCGAAAATCCTGATTTTTGGAAGAACATTCGCCTTAGCCACAACATTCCAAATACCTTCCACAATCAATGTTGGACTGTTCTGAATCATAAGCCAATTGTATCCCAATTTAGCCGAGTATGATCCTGAACTATGATGGCTCCACAATAACAAATCATGCAATCAAGGTATTTAAGACCTGGGAAGCATCCTCCCTGAGAAGCACCCTGTTCACTTTTGGCTCATCCTAACTTGCACTTCCAGGAATCATAAACTCTCCTACTCTAACCGGCTGATCAGACCGATCCAAATATCTTTCCTTCCAACAAATGGGCCTAGAATCCACCCACTTGTCCTCAAACATACGAACCCTACTATCCACCCCACCCTCCAAAAAAAACCGTCCTTAAGAGCCTCTTTGGCCTTCATCAGACTTGCCCAAGCATAAGAATGACGCTCCCCAAGTTTTGCCTCAAAAAATGACGAGTTAGGGAAGTACTTAGATTTAAGGACCTTAAAAGCCAAAGAATTATCATCTTGGATGAGTCTCCAAATCTGATTTCCGAGCAGTGCAATATTAAACAAGCTAAGATCCCTGAAGTCAATACCTCCCAGTTTTTTTGGCCAACAAACCTTGTCTCATGCAACCATCGACCATCCTCTAGAATTATGTTTGCCCGACCACCAATAAGACCTTGCTTGAGTCTTGATATCTTCAATTACACCTTCTGGAAGCAGGTAACATGACATAGCATACGCTGGAAGGGCCTAAACCATTGACTTAATGAAGACCTCCCTACCTCCGAAAGAGAGAAGTCGTTTTGTCCACCCCTGAATCTTCTTCTCCGTCTTGTCTTTTATGAAATTAAAAGTCGTTCGCCTACCTTTTCTAACAGCAATAGGTAAGCCGAGGTAGTTCCCTGGATCCACGACCTCAACGACCCTTAATACACTTAAAAAACGTCGTCCGAATCAGGAGTATTAGGGTTGAAATAGATGTTCGAATTTTCAAAATTCACCTTCTGACCTGAAGCCTTTTCATACTGATTCAGAATGCTCTTAACCTTGCGCAACTCCCCAATAGAATTTTTAACAAACAGAATACTATAATCTACATACAGTAAATGAGAGATTCTTGGCCCTCACAAACTAGCTCTAATTCCCTTGATCTCATTATTCATTTGTGCCTTCAGAAGTAACGCAGAGAGTCCTTGAGCGTAAAACAGAAACAAATATGGAGATAAAGGATCTCATTGACGGAGTCCCCTTTGAGGAATGAAAGAGTCAAATAAAACCCCATTAATACGCACTTGGAAAGAGACAGTGGAAATACACTTTCGAATAAGATTAACAAGGGAATTATTAAAACCCATTCGAAGTATAACATCCAAAAGAAAATCCCATTCAACTCTATCATATGCTTTCTCCATATCTAACTTAATGGTCGCTCCCTTATTAGGTCCATTTTTAGACCCCTTAAGTCATGAGCCACTAAGAAATTATCCGATATACGCCTACCTGGGATAAAGGCACATTGGTTTTCGGTAATACAAGCATGCATCAAAGGCTTTAAGCGATTAACAATAGCTTTGGACACAACCTTATAAGTGACCGTGCAAAGGCTAATCGGTCTAAAATTCTTCATTAATTTTGGACTGGTAACTTTGGGAACTAACACTAAAACGGTACGATTAACAGAATGAAAGCCAGACAAACCATTCAACATACTTAAACAAAGTTCTACAAAATCAATTCCAAGAATATCCCAAAAAGAGCGAAAAAATTGACCAGAGAGTCCATCAAAACCTAGGGCTTTTGACAG